CAATGACCTTAATTCAAACAATACTTGCTGGTTTACAGCTATCATCTGATTTAAAACTTAATGATGGTTGTAAACCGAGTCATGCTGAGCAAGATAGACTGGACAGAGCAGGAGATGTTTGTCTTGAATATGAAACTATTTCAAACGTTGCCCTTTTCTTTTCAGTCTCAGATTCTCACATTCCAACAGGTTTGTCCCTGAAAGACCTTTCCGATGTATTTGCACCTCCTACTTCATCTATAACCAACCTTTTAAATAAGGTGAGGGTAAATCTGATTACAACAATGGGAATATAAATGTCAATCGATTGATTACTAAAAAGGAAAACAAACTTGATGAAATGCGTAAAGTCATATTTCAACCAGAAAATAATATCAGTATTATGGGTTTTACCGAAACTTTTCTACATGAATTAATATTAGATGGCCTGCATGTTGACGATTATGTTCGTGAAAGAAAGGATCGATTTTGTCAAGACGGGAGCGGGATTTTATTTTATATCAAAGATACAATTAAATATCAAAGATACAATTAAATATCAAAGATACAATTAAATATCAAAGATACAATTAAATATGAAATGCATGTTGAATTTGATGACTTTGAAGTGATTTCAGGTTAACTCACTCAAATAATTTTGTGTCTAACTAATTGTATTTTTCCAGATAGTTTAAAGGAAGCTAAAATAGTGCCAATCTATAAAAAAAAGGTCCCAAAGAAATTATTTCAAATTACAGACCAATTTCAATTTTACCTACCATTTCTAAAACCTTTCAAAAACATATATCCACCAACATTAAATCTTTCTTCGAAAAAGTTAACCAGTCGGGTTTTAGAGAGAACCATTCTTGTTCTACGGCATTAGTTAGAATCACAGATAATTGGCTTGAAGCTTTAGACCAAGGTAAATTGACGGTTGTTGTCTACCTGGATTTTAGCAAGGCTTTTCACCAGTTCCTTCTTGATAAACTTACTTTATATAAATTTCACTCTTATTTGTTATATGTAATTAAATCGTATTTATCAAACCGTACCCAAAAAGTTTGCCTTGGTAATTTCCAATCAATACATAGAAAAATAAAATGTGGTGTTCCTCAAGAATCTATCCTTGGACCACTTTTTTTTTCTTTTTTTCATTAATGATCTTCCCCTTTTAATAAAAAATTCTACTTCTGAATTATATGGTGAAATATTCTGATGAAAAACTTGGCTGCATTCAGAGTTGTCTTCGGAAGGACTTAGACAATGGTGCCATGATAACGGCTTGGTAATAAACACAAAGAAAACTAAAAGCATGTTAATGAAAAACGTAG